CAAAAAAATAAATAAATAAAATAAAGTGAATGAAGAGAGGGTTGAGGAGTCTTGCATTTGCAAGGCTCCAAACTTAATCCCTGGCACTGCCCGCATGGCCCCTGTGGGCCCAAGCAGCACCTCAGTGCTAGGTCCAAGCATTGAGCTCTCCAGCCCGGTGCCATTGTGTGGGAGCAGCGCCCATCCCCTACCCCCATCCTGAAAAGTGCATTGACTGAGTTCCAATGCAACAGAGGTGGGAAGGGCGGAATCTGGCAGCTTTAAGAAGTTCAGGCACCGTATCAGCACATAGCTTAAAACCTGCAGAGCGGTAATACTTACCTGTGGGCAGAGGGAAGATTTAGGAGCCTTCCTGTCTTGCCCCTTTGCTTCTCCCTGACCTGTGCTTGAAGAAGAATCCCGAGCTACTCAGAATTACATTGCATTTCTTCTTCTTCTTCTTTTTTTTTAAGTGCTCTGTACAACCCCTTCCAAATGGCATTGTTCAACATAGCACAGACATCCAGTATGAGTCAGGGGCACAGTCTGTACGACAGTCATTTCATTGAAGGGTTTCTTTAATCTCATAAGTTTCCAGAATAAATAGGTAAAAAGAATCTCCCACACCCGCATCTGTAAACAACCCGCTGATCAAAAAACTAGGCATTCTTTTTTTTTCCCCCTCGTCTCTTAAATCAGAAGAAAATCTTGTCACGTTTTCTTGCCAAGAAGTGAATCTTACTTTGTTTATTGCCCTTAAGTCCTATCTCATGCAGAATCTATAATAGTTTAAGGCAATCTGGACGATTTGTACTTATCACAACTTGGAACAGAATTCTTAAGAGTCTGACTGACAACAGAATTAAAAGCTTTGAAATTCCTTTGAGGTGTTAGCCGTCTTAACGATCCTGATTTTATTTTATATTTTTAATACTGTAAACAAACAATAAAAACCTTTCTTCTGACGAAGTGGCCTCACGATTAAATATATACTCACTTTATACCTAATATAAGTATGAGAAAGAGCGGCAGAGTTCAAATGAAAGTGGAGTGAGCCAAAAGAATAGATGACATATTTATTTGCATAAAATAAGAAGGATACATTTTTTGCTGTTGTTTATAGAAAACATGTTCTTTGGCACAAGCGTTGCAAAGATTTCACAAAGGATCCCAAGGAATTAAGTTTGAAGTGTGGGAGATACCTAGGAATTTTACAGGACTGTAAGCTGTGGGCAGTTATACCAAACAGGGCCTTGTGTGCTGCAAATTTATGCTTTGGCGACCTGGGATGAGGCTCAAATGCATTCTGGCATATGAAAGACTCTTAGTTGGACCCCTGGTACCACTACTGCAGTGCTACCAGGTGTGAACCACAGCATTTAAAAAAATGACAATAAAATTATGCTTGTGAAAGTAGTGTTTAAAAAAATCTGTAATATTAGAATTCAATATAATTCCAGAGGAAGAGTGTACCTAGGAAATCATCACTTTTCATTTAGATACAGAAATGGAGGCCTCTGTCATACTTCAGCTTCATTTTGGGTCCTGGGGTTTTATCTCTTTACTAGAATTAAAGTTGATGTTGTTTTCAATAGCACAGCAGTAGTGCGTTTGCCTTGTGCACAGCCAGCCCAGCCAAGCCGTGTTCGATTCCTCCACCCCTCTGGGAGAGCCCAGCAAGCTACCAAGAGTATCTCGCCTGCATGGCAAAGCCTGGCAAGTTTCCCGTGACGTATTCAATATGCTAAACACAGTAACAACAAGTCTCCCGATGGAGACATTACTGGGCCCACATTACTGGGCCCGCTTGAGCAAATCAATGAACAATGGGAGAATAGTGACAGTGACAGTGACAGTTGTTTTCAATCCCTCAAATGATTTTGCACACTAGGGGACCTAGGTCTGTTTTCTGGGCCGTCTTTGTCGTTGTGTTTCATTTAAGCAGTGTATCTGTGGTGGTGAACAGGAATGTTCCAGATCTCCCTCATGCTCGTGTCTGCAATGAAATGAGCAGTTCTTAATCCCCAAAGAACTGGAAGACTAGAACTGTCTGCTTCAAGGGAGAGGCCAGAGAAGAACCCACAAATAATCCCATAAAAGAGAAAACAGCGCCCCAAGGGAAAGTGTATTAAATAGGGGAGGGGTGTTAGATATTCACTCTTTTCCCTCAAATTTTTGTTTGGGGGTGTATCCTGTGCCATCTCACGTAGAGATTTGACGAATAGTCATAGGGACAGAGTGACTCCAAATTGTCTGACGTTGAGTGACTTTCTGTTTCCTTCTTTGTAAATATATCCTCAACCTTCAACATGGACTTGATGTGTACTTGGAATTAAGCAGTGTCCAGGAAATATGTCCAGGGTGCGATCCCCAGGGGCCTAATGCGGTCTTCCCATCATTGGTGTTTTCAATATAATTGATGTCAAAAAATATGATACGGGCAACCTTCTGTTTTGAATGGATTTTTGTCTTGATTACTATGGCTTTATAATGACTTACAAGGTTGGGGAAAGAGAAGCCTCTCGTCTATTTTTTCCCCCGTGATTGTTTTTGCTTCTTTGAGAGTTTGATTACTCAATCTCAACTTCAATAGCCTTTGGTCTGTATCTGTCAAGAATGCCATGGTTTTAGAACAATGCCTGACACCATCATTGCCCAGACTGTCAACCACAGTTCATCATTAAAGTGGGGGAACCCTCCTAGTATTAGTAATTTCAGGGTTGGAACTCTCTTCTGGGTTTGGTTCAGAAAAAGGGGTGGAGGCTGAGGAAATTAAACACCTTAAAAATGTTATTCCCTTCATTTCCCTAGGGTTATCAATCTTTGGTGGGTGTGGTCTTGGGGGGGGCGGGGAACGACAATATGGAAAAGACAGAGATTGTGACCGCCACAAAATGTATTGCCCTTATGTTTTAAGTTTGTCTTTAGCAGAATAGACCTTAGAGACTGCAGAGAAAAGCTACTGCCACTTTAAAACAGCACTTGGTCTTATAGATCCTTGGTCCTAAAATGTTTCAATGGGCAGAGGAAGACTGAGTACACTGTCAGGGCCTCAGGAACTCTCAGGCTCCAGTTCTCTGTCCGTACAGCATTGTTCCTCTCTCTGCTCCCGGCATCCCAGCCCTCTGAGGTGAAGGTGGGCCTCACGGAGACTTGGCTGATCATTAGCTGCTCTCTGCCAACTCCCATAAAGAGTTTCAGACAGCTGGCGGTAAAATATGTGAATACCTAAATACTTAAGACTTAGTCCCTTATGGTTTGTTTCAATAGTTTGTTTCATTATCACTAATGTAGTTCATAGTTTATTACTATAAAATTACACAATTTTACACAAAATCATGGAATTTTATATAATTATATTTCTTTATCAGAGACACAAGGGGATAAATTGTAGCAGACCCCTGAGAAATTCAAGAGGTTATAAGAGGTGACTGTGAACAATCTTATGCTGTTAGACTGGGGAACCTAGAAGAAATGAACAGATTCGTAGAATTATGTTATCTCCCAACACTGAGCGAGGAAGAAATAGAAAACCTGAATAGTACAGCAGCTAAGGTACTTGCCTTGCATACAGCTGGCTAAGGTTCAAGCCCCAGCATCCCATATGATCCCCTGAACTCCACCAAGGCTGCTCCCTGTGTGTAGAGCCACACCTTGAGCCCCTATAGGTGTGGCCCAAAAACAAAACATAAAGGGAAAACCTGAACAGGCCATTCATGAGCAAGGTTACTGAAACAGAATCTCCCCAAGAACAAAGGCCCTGGTCCAAATGGGTTCACTTGTGAATCCTATCAAGCCTTCAAAGAAGACTTAGTAACTTTACTCTTCAAGCTCTTCCAAAATATTGAAGAAACAGGAATTCTTACCATAATTTTATGAAGCCAACATTATACTAATACCCAGATACACTGCTAGAAGAGAAAATTTCACGACAATTTCTCGGATAAACATGGATACAAAAAATCCTCAACAAAATCTTAGCAAACCAAATATAACAGCATATTTTTTTAAAAAAATCATACACCACACTGAAATGGATTCATCCCAGGGACGCAAGGATGGTTCAGCATCCACAGGTCAGTTAACATTATATACCACATCCATAAGCAGAAAGATAAAAATCATAAGACCATATCAGTAGAAGCAGAAAAGCTTTGACAAGATTCAAAATTTATTCATGAGAAAAAACCCTTAACAAAAGTAAGGGTGATAGGAACTTTCCTCAAGATAGTAATGGCCATGGTGCTGGAGTGATAGCACAGCGGGTAGGGCGTTTGCCTTGCAAGTGGCCAACGTGGCTGACCTAAGTTCGATTCCTCTGCCCCTCTCGGAGAGCCAAGCAAGCTACCGAGAGTATCTCGCCCTCACAGGAAGAGCCTGGCAAGCTACCCATGACGTATTCGATATGCCAAACACAGTAACAATTGTTATAATGGAAACGTTACTGGGCCCGCTCGAGCGAATCGATGAACAACGGGAGGACAGTGACAGTGACAGTAATGGCCATCTTTAACAAACCCATAGCCAGTCTGTGTGCAAGTGGTTTAGGATTTGATTTGAATGATCCCTGATAACCTACTTGCTAATTTTCCTTGTCTTGAAAATTGATAAAACTAAACTTCAGGTTTTGTCCTCTGTCCAAGAGGGAACATAAAAGCATCTCCTTTATCTACTTGTGAGTGTCCCCAGAGAGCTAAAAAGTCCTTCCCATAGTCTTGGCAGCATAGTCAGTATGTAATTATTGTGAAATGGTCCCCCACCTGTCATCCTGGTCTTCCCAGCTCTGTCTGGCAAAGCATGCCCTGCCATTCCAAGAAGCCTTTTGTAGAACGAGACTAAGTTTTCATAGAGCAACCTCTGAAAGGTCTTTCCTTTGTTTTCTCGTTTACTTATATACTGACACACTGATACTTACTGATTGAATGTCGTGCAAGGATCCATCCCTCACCTCACGTTCATACCCCAGGCCGACCGCCAAGCCTCCTGCAGCCCCGTGAGAAGTATCTCTCCATTTCTTTTAGACGTTCCTACAAGTGATCGGTGTGGTGGGTGTGGCCGTGGCCGTGATCCCATGGATTGCTCTGCCTCTGGTTCCCCTGGCCATCATCTTCATTGTGCTTCGGCGATATTTCCTGCAAACATCCAGAGATGTCAAACGTCTGGAATCTACAAGTGAGTATGGAGGTGCTCGCGTTGGGGCCAGCTAAGCACGCAAATGAGCAAGCATCCGTTTACGCCATGATTATAGAGAGCAACTTCCCCCATTCCACCCTAAGGAACATTATCGGGTCATGGACTATTAGTCAGGAAATACCCATCCGAAGGGATGCATTCAAAGGAGATTTTTTACTCTCCACACACTCAAAACAAGGCCCATCAGCTGGGCTGTCAAATGTTTCACGAAGATAAGTACCCTGTTATTTTCAGTTTTGCTCCTTATTATCACCAGTATTTGGGATCATGCCAGACTGTGGTTTTCCCCCCACCCCCGGGCTGTTCTTGTAAATAGAAGCTGAAATAATTTCCTTTGCAGAACACGGGAGAGAGGTGCACTGCTTTTGTTGGTGATTCTCTTTAATGTCCAAGTGTGGGAGTAACAGGGGGAACGTTTTATGATTAACCGTTCTGTTCTACAGGTAATCCGCCCCAAAAGGAACAATTCAGTGTTCATTTCATTAACATACAAATATATTCATTATTGAATCCCCAAAACTTCATTTGGAGAGCGGCATTATTACATTTGAAAAAGCTTGAGTTGGAATGGATCAGAAGCTATAAACTTCCCGGGTTAAGTCAGTCCCATGTACAAAGCATACTGTTTAAAATTAATTAGACCAGGGGCTGGAGCAATAGCACAGTGGGTGGGCGTTTGCCTTGCATACGGCCGACCCGGGTTTGATTCCCAGCATCCCATATTGTCCCCCGAGCACTGCCAGGAGTTAATTCCTGAGTGCATGAACCAGGAGTAACCCCTGTGCATTGCCGGGTGTGACCCAAAAATAAATAAATAAATAAAATAAAATTAATTAGACCATATTGCATAGTTATCAGTGACTAAGAGTAAATGTTTAAATATCGCCATCACAAGAAGAAATGTTCACACAACGCGATGTGTTGTGACTTGCTAAACTAGATTTACTGTAGTGATCATCTCATAATTTATACAGATACCTATAAGTAATATAATAGTATCACCCAGTTATAATTCACTTTAAAGAAGAAAAGAGATATCAGCAAGATAGCCAAAAAATAAAGAAGGAAGACAGCAAACTTCAAGCAGCTACTAGTCACTACTAAGTAATACCCACTTAATTTTATGGGAGCTATGCAGAGAAATATATAGAAGCGTGTATGTATTTTAAAAAACAATACACCATTGAGAACACTATAAATATTTGCTTTCTTTTTGGTTTGAGGCCACACTTGGTGGTGCTCAGGGCTTATTCCTGGCCCTGAGCTCAGGGGTCACTCCTGGCGGGTTCGGAGGACCATATGTGGTATCGGGGATTAAACCCGCATCTTCCACGTGCAAAGCAAGTGCCCCGCCTGTGCTACAACCTGTTGTAGTCTCTCTCTGATGATGTTGTCAATATTTGCATTCCAGAAAATAGATTCCTGCTATAAATGCTATAGCAGATTTGGGGGCAGGCTACCTGAGGAGGTTGGGGCAGTGCTTGGTCCCCAACTTACCTTGAGCTGTCTGTCTGTCTGTCTTGTCTGTCTTGCCTGTCTGTCTCCTCTCCCCAGCTCGGAGCCCCGTGTTCTCCCACCTGTCGACATCTCTCCAGGGCCTCTGGGTCATACGTGCGCACAGAGCCGAGGAGAGGTTTCAGGAGCTGTTTGACGCTCACCAGGATTTGCACTCAGGTCTGTCTTGTATCTGGGGGCTGGTTGGGGGGCTGGTTGCGGGGCCCGGCAGCCTCTCCGTGTCCATGGCCCGACACTCCTCTCTCGGCCCTTCTCTCCCCAGCCCTGTGTCATGCCCCTGCGTGTCTGTTCCCCACTCATGTCTCAGCCCTCCCTCCCTCCTCCCCCCGAGTTGGCCTGTGTTGGCCCCTCCATGTGTCGCTTGGGTAGGGCAAGGCAGGGCTCATCCAGCTCTTTGTATAACCCTGCAGAGCTTCTCGCGTCAGACTGTCTCGTGGCAACTGTCTGTCTCTGCTGTTTTGGCGTAGAAGCAGGCACAGAGCACGTTCTGCAGCTCACAGCCCAAGCTGTGTTCCAATAAAACTTTATATAAAGTAATAGCCAGCCCAGGCCCTGTTTTTCTGATGGAAGAAGTAACCCAGGAAATCGATTTCCTACCCAACCCTCACTTGACAGGTGTTATTCTTTGCATCGGTCAAGGTTTACCCATTGCCACCTCCCACCATGCAGAAATTGCAGAATTTCTTCCAAGTGGACAACCTGTCCATAAAACACGTCCATCTTTCCATAAAACACGTCCTTAGAAGATAGCCTGCAGGTTCCTTTACTGAGAGTCCCACGGGTGCCTGAATCATAAACACTCCGAGCAGGGAAAGGAAGTGGGGACGGAGGTTTCCAGAAACTCAGCGGGGTCCCATCCTCTTTGCCACAATCCCGTTTCTCCTCCTGGGATCCTGATCTCCCCAGAACCCCCATGCAGAGGTCTGGGAGACCTAGGGCCTGGCCCTGTGTCACAGTCACTCTTGGGGGAGTCCAACCTGCCTGTCCCCACACGTAGCCCCCTGCCCGCCCCCGGTGCCGTGCGGCTCTCAGGGATGTTCCTGCTCCTCCCGCCTGGCTCACGGGCACCTCCTGTCTCCAGAGGCGTGGTTCTTGTTTCTCACGACGTCGCGCTGGTTCGCTGTGCGTCTGGACGCCATCTGCGCTGTCTTTGTCATTGTGGTGGCCTTCGGGGCGCTCCTGCTGGCCAAAAGTAAGTACAGATGTGAAGAACTATCCGTGGCATGAGTGCGATGCGCCTGCAGTCACTTAGATGACTTAAAATTAAACACTCGCCACCTTGTGCAGCCTTGCAGTTCTGACAAGTTGGGTCCTGTGTGTTTTCCGCTGCCCCCAGCCGGCTGGGGAACAGGACTGGGGTCTGGAGTGTTGCCTTTTACCTCTCTGTAAGTGGATGGAGACCTGCGCACGTTCTCACTCTTCCTGGACTACTTGGTGGTCCTGAAAAGAGAATCAAGTTCCTGGTTCTGAGTATGTGGGCTGCTGGCCTCATTCCAAGCTGGTACCTGGAGGCCTGGGTGGAAGGGCATGAGGACATGTCTCCTCTTGGGATTTCTTTAATAAAAGTATATTATTTTTAGGGCAGAGTGATTATGCAGTGGTTTGGGGTCTTGCCTTGCTCGTAGCTGCCTGGGTCCAATCCTTGCATGGGTCAACCCAGGTTTAATCACAGGTACTACAGATGCTTGGTCCCCTGAACCCGGCCAGGTGTGATTCCTGAGCACAGAGCCAGGAGTCAGCCCTGAGCACTGCCAGGTATGCCTGAAAACCATCAAATATTATGTTTTAGATATTTTTACAGTTATATTGATCATTGAAAAGGAAAAAAAGGTTCAGAGATGATACAGGGATGAGGGTCAGAGAGATGGTGCAGGGAAAAGGGTCAGAGAGATTGTACAGGGGTGAGATCAGAGAGATAGTGCAGGGACGGGGGTCAGAGAGATGGTGCAGGGGTGAGTCAGGGAGATGGTACAAGGGTGAGGTGCAGGGGGCGAGGTGTTCTACCAGCAACTCCAGCACCAAATAACCAAATGGTCTAGAGCCTTGATAGTGTCTAGTGCTGCTGGGTGTGGTCCAAACCCCACCCTCAAATATACAAAAAGGGGGAGAGAGAGAGAGAGAGAGACTCAGAGCAGGAAGGGGCTCCTGTGTTGGGGGCTCACAGGAAGAAGCTCGCATGTTGGGTGAGTGTCTCCAACGTGCCCTTGGAGGGGTCCCTGGACCACCGAGGGGTCGCAGAGATTCAAAGGCTCCAGTGGCTGAGGCAGTTCCCAGCGGCAGCCACTCTGCGATGAGAAGGGGCCGTGTTCCACAGTGCTCCTTGAAATCACAGTGACAGGGAGCTGAGTGGTGAGCAACCCTCCTCCTTACCTCTGCCAGGCCCCCCGGGGCACAGCACCGTCCAGTGCACCCTCGGGGATCCCCGAGTGGGATTGGATTTGGGCTAATTGAATCACTCCCTAAGATTTTACTTTTCATGCTCCTCACGGGACTCAACGCAATGCAACCCGTCTGGTGGGCATTAACCGTCAGACAAAATGCCCAGGTGGTTGCGTTTCTACTGGATTTTTTCCGTGTAGCGTAGGGTTTGGGCCACCCCTAGCAGTGCTCGGGGCTTACTCCTGGTTCTGTGCTCCTGGATCACTGCTGGCGATGCTCAGGGGGACCAGAGAACTTACCAGGGGTCGAACCCAGGTCGGACAGCGTGCGAGGTGAGAGCCTGCACTAGCTCTCTTTAGCGGTTGAGCATTTAGCATTCCTGTGAGATTTAGCGTTTATGTGAGATTTTCAGTCACGTGATCGCAATCTGTAGATCACAGAGCTCTGATTTGGTTTTGAGGTCACACCCGATGATGCACAGGGGTTTACTCCTGGCTCATACGCTCAGGAATTATTCTTGGCGGTGCTCGGAGGACCATATCAGATGCTGGGAATCGAACCCAGGTTGGCCGCATGCAAGGCAAACGCCCCAACTGCTGTGCTAAAGCTACAGCCCCAGAACTCTGATTTGGGGCAGTGGCCAAGGTTCTTTCCTGCACCACCTTGGGGGGTGGTGAGGGTAGCCGAGGGGTCCCTCGTGATGCTAACCGTCTCTCTCTTGTTCCCGACCAGCCTTGGATGCGGGGCAGGTGGGCCTGGCACTGTCCTACGCCCTCACGCTCATGGGGATGTTCCAATGGTGTGTCCGGCAGAGCGCCGAGGTGGAGAATATGGTAACAGTTTTCTCTTTCACTTTTCCTGACACAGCCTCCTTCTTTCCTCCCCGTTCAGCGGCATAAAAGTCATTCTTCTTCTGTTAACACACACACACACACACACACACACACACACACACACACACACACACACCCCTGCTGTTATTTTTACATTTACATCGTGGAGAACAGAGCATCTCCGATCCTTCCTCCATCTGTTTAAAGTTAGTGTAAAATAAAGTGTATACACATCTTGGTCTCTGCCTTGGGGATGCCGTGTCAGCAACTTTCCTCCTGCCCCTCACGCGTAAGCGGGCTTCAAATGTCAGAACCGGCTCTGTAGGAGGGCGGCCCGAGGCCTGAGAGAGGCGGTAGCTCCCGTCTCTGAGCCCAGCGCCGTTTCATTTCTTGGTTGCTGGCTTATTCCCGCTCCGAGAAGAGCTGCCGTTTGGAGGTGGTGTGTTTGTTTAGTTCACGGGACGGGACATGCTCAGCGCATGTGCTTGACAGGTGGATGCCAGGGTTCGGCCCTCCGCCTCCCCAGGACCCCCACCGAGCACAGAACCCGTGGCCCCAAAGCCGAACTCAGTCCAGAACTAGACGGCAGTTAGGTGGGCCGAGGGCGGAGGTTCGTTATTTCCTCTTTGACTGTTTGCCCCAGCTCCTTCCTGGAGGGAAAAGACAACCCAAACTGTTCCCTTTTGCAGAGGTTCTCAAACTCATTTGGCCTATCACCCCCTTTTCAGAATTACATGGTGTACAACTCCCCCCCCTCCACCCCCCCAACACACACCTCCCTGGAAACCTGCTCCAAACCAGTTACCAATGAGGCCACTTCCTTCTCCACACTAATCATTCTAGGATCACTCACTTATATGCAGAGTACACAGGGTGTATATATATATGCTGGAGCGATAGCACAGCGGTAGGGCGTTTGCCTTACAAGTGGCCAACATGGCCGACCCGAGTTCGATTCCTCCGCCCCTCTTGGAGAGCCCGGCAAGCTACCGAGAGTACTCAATATGCCAGACACAGTAACAACAAAGTCTCCAATGGAGATGTTACTGGGCCCGCTCGAGGAAATCGACGATCAACGGGAGGGCCTTTACCTTTACCTTTTTATATATATATATATAGATTGATTCATATATATATATTGATTGATTGATTCGCCGTGAGGTACAGTGATAAAACTTTCATGTTTGAGCTTTGATCATGCAATCATCAAACACCCATCCCTTCACCAGTGCACATTTTCCACCACCAAAGTCCCCTCCCCACATTCCACACCTACCCCTGCCTGTGTGGCAGACAATTTGCACAATACATTCTTTTTCTACTTTGGTTACCTTCGATATTTCGAGACCAGTCCCACCATCACTAATACCCGCCATAAAGGCAACGCTAGACAATGTGTTTTGTATTGCTTGTTATGGATACAGTATAATGTCACGCGGCTGCAAGAGTGGCCGTGCGCTCTAGGAATTCTAAAATTTTAATCATTAGGGTCTGAGGAGATTGTTGAAGCAAGTTGCTCGGGTCCGAGATTCATTTGTGTGTCTCTGGATCCTGGCCGTGTAGGAGTTTAAGTATACACGGGGTATTACCATGAGGCTTACCATCCCTTGCACTATATTCCCCCAGAACAGATTGTCCTTCTGTGGCCACACATGGTGGGCTTGGAGGTAGGGCGGAAGCATCCCGTCCATGTGCAGAATCCTCAGATGATTTAGATAGGTGTGAAAACGTGACTCTGGCTTTCACATTCCTTTCCATGCTAAGAGGACAGAGTGGGAATGAACCATGAGGGGAAGGACCCCCGAGCCCTGAGAGAGTTTGTCAGCCATCCTGAGCTGCTCCTACCCGGGCTGTCGGCCCTCTCCCCGCACTTCCCACTCACCTCACCCAGCTCACGGCCGTGCCTTGCAGATGATTTCCGTGGAGCGGGTGATGGAGTACACAGAGCTGGAGAAAGAGGCGCCGTGGGAATGTCAGAAGCGCCCCCCGCCCGGCTGGCCCCAGGAGGGGGTCATCGTCTTCGACAATGTCAACTTCACCTACAGTCTGGACGGGCCTGTGGTGCTGAAGCACCTCACCGCCCTCATCAAGTCCAGAGAGAAGGTGGGTGCAGGGGCTCTGATGACCTGAGGGGGTCAGGGCGGGGGCAGGAGAGGTGGCACAAAGGTCAAGGTGCTTTCCTCTCTCACCCTATTCTGCAGACCTCGGTTCAAATCTCATGACCCCCCAAGTTCCCATTAGGGGTGTGTCCTGCTGGGTGTCGCCCATTACACGCCCGTCCGGAAAGAAGTGAGAGTTGCTTCTCTGCAGCATCTGCTTCCTCCGTGTTGGGTCAGATGAGAGGTGGTGGGCGCTGGGTGTGGTGCTGAGCTGTAGCCCCCCAAGCTCTTCAGCTCCATGTGGCATCCCGGGGATGTGCCCCTGGCCTGCAGCATGGAGAAGAAAGATGGCTTGGTTGTTAGGGTGCCGTGTGTGTGTGCAGAGCCTACAGTCCAGTACAAGATATCCCAGGCTCGGGCAACAACCACACTGGGCCAAGGCCTGGACCAACTCCAGCTTGACGGAGTATCCCCTGGAGTGACCCCCAGGATACTGCTCAGGGTGGACGTGCATACACACACACACACAAACACACACACAGTGAATTAAGTATAGTATAGAGTGATCCACGGAGCATTGCCCAGCACACGTACACGTACACTCACACACACACACACACACGCACACGCACACATGCAAACAAGAATGAATTCAGTACAGTAGAGGGTGGTTCATAAAGCGTTGTCCAGGGGACATACACACACACACACACACACACACACACACACAAACACACGCACATGCACACATGCATGTAAGTGTGAATTGACTACAGTGCATGGTGGTATCCTAGGTTCTTCCTTGGAAACTAAGCAAGGAGCATAGCTGCCCAATTTCCTCACTTTTCTTAAAGATTTGCCTTCCTGAGACAATCTGTGGCCTCTGGACCCAGGCCTGGACCATCACCTGAGCCAGTCCTGTGTGTGACATCACGTCCTCTGTGCCTTAACCTGGCCACCCTCTCTTGGCCCTTGTCCCTCCCCTGTGCTCCCTAGCACCTGCTCCCTGCCATTTCTCCAGCCTCCTCTGGGGGGCGCGCCTTGGGCTCCTTGGGTCTGCTTCTCTTTCCTTCTATCTCTCTCCTGAGCCCTCTCTCTCATTCTTTTTTTTTTTAAATGTAGGAGTACTGCTATTTATTCAGCTACTGATTAGCTGATTGAACTGGGCATCAACTCCACCTTACTTTTTTTTTTTCCCATTTTTTATCATTTTATTTATTGAATCAACGTGAGAACAGTTACAAAGCTTTTGGGTTTAAGTTTCGGTCATACAATGAAACACCCGTCCCTTCACCAGTGCCCATTCTTCACCACCAAAATCCCCAGTGTACCCCATCCCACACCCTTCCTGTGGGGCAGATGATTTCCACATTACTTTCTCTCTACTTTGATTGCATTTAATATTTTCACACCAGACCCACCATTATTATTTGGGATTTTACCCCAACATTCGGATCTGCCAAAAAGGCAACAGTAGACAATTTGTTTTCTGTTGCTGGTTATGAATAACATATAATGTTGCGTGGCTATAGTAGTGCCTGCACAATTTTGAAATTCTGAAACTTTAACAATTAAATCTGAAGGGATTTCTGCCAAAAGTTGGTGGGTTCTGAGATTTGAGTCTCTGGGATCATGGCCGTTAAGTAGCTTGATCAGGAGCCAGAACGGTCGTTCATGGGTGGTGACTAGGGTCTCATTTGGATGAGAAGGAAAGGGCCAGCTCCACCCCCATCCCACGAGGCCCCGCGTATCTTGTCACTGAGGACCCAAAACTGACTGTCCAGTGGCCTCTGGAGGATGGAAGCCATAGGGCAAGAAGGCGGAGGGACAACACCCTGTCCCCCCCAGAACGGCCCAGGCTTGGGGGCAATGTTAAGTGGACATTGTCGCAGTTACTTTCATGAACTAGTAAGTGAAACTGATTATAACAACATGTTCAGATTAATTCCATTGTGCTTAAATAAATGTGCATCTTTCAGAATGTGAATGGACGCATAGACTCACCCATCCTGAGAGAAAATACATGCATATCTTATGAATGGTTTTATATCAGAGGTTGTGGTTGATGTTTATTTTTCTAGCTTATCTGCATTGGTCATAATTAAGAAAATGACTGATTATTTGGGGGGGTGAGGTTTGGGCCAAACCCGATGATGCTCAGGGGTACATCCTGGAATTATTCTTGGTTGTGCTGGGGGACCATACGGAGTACAGGGGATTGAATCTGGGTCTGTGCATGCAAGTAGCCGGTGTACTATCTTGCATACTTTTCTTTCTTTCTTTCTTTCTTTCTTTCTTTCTTTCTTTCTTTCTTTAATTTTTATTGAATCACCATGAGATAGTTACAAGCTTTCATGTTTGGGTTACAATCACACAATGATCAAACACCCATCCCTCCAACAGTGCACATTCCCCACCACCAATATCCCCAGTATACCCCCTCCCTCTGCCTCTATGGCAGACAGTATTCCCCATAATCTCTCTCCACTTTTGGGCATTATATGGTTTGCAATACAGACACTGAGAGGTTATCATGTTTGGTCTATTATCTACTTTCAGCACACATCTCCCATCCCGACCGGTTCCTCCAGCCATTATTTTCTTAGTGATCCCTTCTCTGTTCCAGCTGCCTTCTCCCCTTTGCTCATGAGGCAGGCTTCCGGCTATGGAGCAGTCTTCCTTTCCCGTGTATCTACTATCCTTAGGTGTCAGCCTCGTGTTATGTTGTTTTACACTCCACAAATGAGTATCCAGAGGATGCAAAAAAGCACAGTAGAAATGACATCTGTACCTATATGTTCATTGCAGCACAACAGCCAAAATCTGGAAACAACCCAAGTGTCCTGGAACAGATGACTGGTTAAAGAAACTTCTATGCAATGGAATAGTATGCAGCTGTTAGGAGAGATGAAGTCATGAAATTTGCTTATAAATGGATAGACATGGAGAGTATCATGCTAAGTGAAATGAGAGGGACAGGGGCTGGAGTGATAGCACAGCGGGTAGGGTGTTTGCCTTGCACACGGCCAACCTAGTTTCAATTCCCAGCATCCCATATGGTCCCCTGAGCATCGCCAGGGGTAATTCCTGAGTGCAGAGCCAGGAGTAACTACCCCTGTGCATTGCCGGGTGTGACCCAAAAAGCAAAAAAAAAAAAAAAGAAAGAGAGAGAGAGAGAGGGACGGACATAAAAGAAAAGCTTTTCTTTCTAAGAGCCTTGCATGCAGTCAATGAAATTTAAATGGGATGTTAAAAATGAGGAGAGTGAGGGGAATGACAGTCCAGAGAGAGCGTTGAGGAGTTAAGGTGTTTGTCTTGCGTGCACCGACCGCTGGTTCAATCCTACACACCAAATGGTCACTCGATCACCACTGGCAGCAACCTCAATCCTGAGCATCACCCTAAAACTAGTGCCCCTTCCTTTTAGGATTCATGGAGTGAAGTCTGTGCAACATGGATCTCTCCATTTCAGTCTCTGCCCTTCCTGTTGGAATTAAAAGTAAATTTCATGGGGCTACAGAGGTAGTCCGGGGTAGGGCACTTAGTCTTGCACATGGTTCACACTGGTTCTGTCCCCAGCATTGCATAGGGCTTCCCCCATACCCCAAGCACTGTCAGGAGTAATCCCTGAACACAGAGCCCTGAGCACCACCAGATGTCCCCCCCCCCCAAAAAAAAAATAAAAGAAAGTAAAAGAATTGGCTTACTTCACTGCGTCAGTTTAGAGCTACATCTTCTGGATTCTCATCTCTTCAGCTTGGCGTTCATCGACTCTGGAGTCACGGCAGCCCTTTCTGTCTCCTGTGTCTTCTCAGCTGCTTATCCCAACTCTGCTTCTGGCCCATTTGCAGGTTGGGACCTTTTCAATAGAGCCCACCGCCGAGTAGACCGTCACCGTCTCCCAGACGTGGTTCCCTCCTGCCGCTTGATGTGTGTAGATTTACATACAGGATCGCCCAGAAATACACACAAACCAGGACTGGTCCCTCTGGAATGAAATTGTGACCCACCCTTCCATCCTCATGCAGTCCCCCTAGGCATCTACAGGATACTGTGCTGGCCAATGTAGCCAGGCTGTTCTTTTCTTGAAGATCATTTTTGATTCAGATTAAGCTTCACCACTTTAGGAAGCAGTCAGATGAGATCAGGTTCATGGCAGAGAATTAAAGCTCAGAAAATTTAGTTCTATGTTTAAAGTAGGTAGGGTTGGAGGCCAGAGAAATAGTAGAGAAGGAAGTAGTAGTAGAAGAAGAAATAGTAGAGAATTGCCTTGAATCTAGCCCATCCTGATTGGTCCCTGGACCACCTATGTTTTCTCACACACTAAAGCATAGGGTCAAGAGTACTACTCAGAGGATGGCCCAACTTGCCCCCATTGTCTTTTTTTTTTTTAAATGTACTAGATTTGGGGTGTGGAGTGATAGCACAGCAGGTAGGGCATTTGTCTTGTGTGTAGCCAACCCGGTTTGACTCCCAGCATCCCATATAGTCCCCCGAGCACCACCAGGAGTAACCCCTGTGCATCACCGGGTGTGAGCCTCAAAAACAAAAATAAATAAAAATAAAATGTACTGGATTAGTTTACAGGTGGGCTGGAGCAATAGCACAGCCGGTACGACGTTTGCCTTGCAAGTGGCCAACATGGCCGACCCGAGTTTGATTCCTCCGCCCCTCTCCAAGAGCCTGGCAAGCTATCGAGAGTATCTCACCTGCACAGCAAAGCCTGGCAAGCTCCCTGTGACATATTCGATATGCCAAACACAGTTACAGTGGTCACAATGGAGATGTTACTGGGCCCGCTCGAGCAAATCCATGAACAAGGGGAGGACAGTGACAGTGACAGTTTACAGGTGATAGGAAGTATGTCTTCGGCCCCTTCATTCCTGCCAGGCTGTGCAGAGGAGGACATAGCCCTTGAGGCTGGTATTGTGCTTAACTCACGGGTTACGAAGGGCCAGTTTCTGTGTGTGGGTTTACGTGCACAAGGCAGTTTTCACAGCACAGTTTCATTCCTAACCAGCGTGTACCTGCCGTATCGATTCTTTGATCTTATTGTCAAGGTGCTTCATTTCTTCCTGCTTTGCTTTGAGTAACTAGAATGATACTTGACAGAAATCTGTCTCGAGGGGGCAATTGTCGGTATTAATTGGTTTGTAAAATTCCTTTTGAACTGTTCAGATGAAAGGCCCTCCTTCATAGCAAATGGTCCGTCCTTGTTATTGTTGTTGTTGTTCTCATTCTGAGTGTTTTGGCCACAACACCAATGTCTTTTAAAACCCTGGGATCTGCACGTTACAAACGTAAAGACGTTTCAAGACCCAAACATATACCTGAAACTTAGTGCTCAGAAGTGGTTGCAATTTTTCTCCCAAAGACTTTGTCTGAAGTGGGAAAACTTGAGGAAAGTGAATGCGTGTTTAAGGGGAACAGTGCTCTGGATTAACTTGTTTTGTCTCTTGGGACATTATCCAAAAATGTCTCAAGGCTCAAGATATTCCTTGCCCTCTCCCACAGTCAATGGATCATTGTCACACTTGGGGCCAATCAAATCAGTCCCAAGCGGGGCCACTGACCTTTATTCATTTCTGACATTCGGGGTGTCACCCTTTGGGAAACACTGGGTAGAATCATGGATTATAACTGAGTGTCATACTGTGCACAGGACACCCTTTCCCCTTCCATATTTACACATACACACACACAGAGCAGAGAACTCCCTGGGCCATTGTGTCAGCTGTGCTGGGCTTGAAGATTCAGATCAATAAATGGCCCAAAGCAACAGAGACTGAGAGCTGTTTTATGGAAGTGACCTTCCCTGGTGGGGTATGGTAGGAGGACATTCTGGTCAAGGTTTGGTGTCGGAACCTCATCCGCATGCTTGTGACCCTGTCAAGAACAATGTCCCGAGTAAAATCATGAGAAAAGGAAAGAGAAGCAGGTTTCCCTGGTCATTCCTCTAGAATGTCCCTAATGTCCCGGATTTGTCTTAACCCAGCCCCTGTCTTATCCCCTGCCCCTTGATGCTCCTTTATCCTCTCCTTCCTCTCTCCACAGGTCGGCATTGTGGGGAGAACAGGCGCAGGGAAAAGTTCCCTCATCTCAGCCCTTTTCAGACTGTCAGAGCCCGAAGGTAAAATTTGGATCGATAAGATCTTGACCACAGAAATCGGACTCCACGACTTACGGAAGAATATGTCCATCATCCCACAGGTAGGCACTTGTTCTGTGCGAAAGGGCACCCAAGGTCACTTAGTATCACTCGATTGGCTTTTCTTTTTCTCGCTAGGTTTTGGGTGCCACACCCAGCGATGCTCAGGGGTTCCTCCTGGCTCTGCACTCAGGAATTACTCCCAGCGGGGTTCAGGGGACCACATGGGATGCCAGGGGTCGAATCTGGGTTGGCTGTATGCAAAGCAAACACCATCCCGGCTGTTCTCTCCCCAACCCCTCTTTCTCTGTTTCAGTGAACTAAAAGGGGGTTTCTCTTCCCATAGAGAGACTCTCCTCCAATAAATATTTTCAGTGTGATTTTGCATTAGTGACCAGGCTCAATGCATTGGGCCTCTTGTAGTTGGCGAGGGTGCTTTTATCACTTCCACAGGGAGATGTCTTGGCACTCATGGACCCTGGTGTCACTCTGCGGGCTGAGAATGGCAGAATTCTGGGAGCCCTGAGCAGGCTTGGCCATGGTTTCACGGGGAATCGTGGACTCCGGGGTGTTTCCCATGGAACTTTGCTCCCCGCAGTGAAGGCCCCTTGGGGAAGCATTCAGAGCATCTCCAGGAAGAGGCAACTGTAATCCTGGAGCTTGGGGTGTAGGTGGGGCTCTCAGAGAAGCATAATGCATCATGTCTTGGAGAAGTTGCGACTTTCTCCAGAAAAATGATCCAGTATGGTGAGAAAGAATATGGGGTGAGGACCCTCTCTCCCCCAGCTCCGTTTTCACCCCTTCAAGGCAGTGGAGAGAGCCCCAGCTCCTGGTGCTGCCAAGAGGACCAAGGGGGGTTTGCACCTGCAGACCCACCACCTGGTGGAGCTGAGACTAAGCGTTTCTTCCTGGTTGCAACTTCTGCTGTACTGCTTTGGAGGAGGAGGTCTCCAAAAGCAGTACTCAGTAGGTCCAGGGGCCCACAAGCAATTCCCAGCTCACCCAGCCATGTGTCAGCACGGGGGTCCAAGAATGTGATGCAGCTTAGGCCCTGCAGTGCCCAGAGATAGCCGGGTCACCTCAGTGGTGCTAGGGTGGCCTCTAGAGCTATATCTGGCTGCACTTGCAGATTTTTGGGGGGCGGGGGGGAGGGAACCACACCTAGTGATGCTCAGGGGTTCTGCACTCAGGAATTACTTCCACGGTGCTCTGGGGACCTCATGGAGTGCTGGGGATCGAATCTGGTTCGACCCCATGCAAGGTAAATGCACTTCGCCACTGTCCTATTGCAGTGGCCTCTGACCATCTGCAGGAGTCTGTGGGGACAGGAATCGAATCGGGATATGCCTGAAGCAGCTGAGCTATCTCCTGTTGCATCTATTCTACTACTACTTTGGGTTTTTATTTTATTTATTCATGTTTTTATTTTGTTTTTGGAGACCACACCTGGCTGTGCTCAGGGCTTCTTCCTGGCTCTCCTCTTAGGGCTTCGTCTTGGTGGGGTTCAGGGGTTCCCTCCTCGGCACCGCAAGATTAAAGCTGGTTCTCTGCATGCACCACAAGTGCCTTCGTCATAGTGCTCTCCCTCTGCCCCTATCCTGCCTCTGAGCGGAATCTTCAGGAAGGTTCCAGAGTTGGAGTTCTGCTCCTTCTAGGCTGCATTCTCCGCTCAGCACCTATCTGGGCAGACTTGTGGTCCTCCAGAAGCCCAGGAAGGCACCACCATCTGTGCCCCTCCACCCCTCGCCACTTTCGCTGCAGAATGCCACTTTCGCTACATACTTGTTGCTTTGATAGTTTGATGTGGGGTCTTTTATGCTCTACGGTCACCTGACCTTCAGGGAAGGCCCGGTGACTCACTGACTCACTCACAACAAGAAGCAGGAGGCACCCCCCTACACACACACACATACACACACACACACACACACACACACACACACACACTCAGAAATAAAATAATTAGACTTGCTCTAAATAAATTTGAAGCCAAAATAGGCTTTTTTTGGTTTTGTTTCGTTTTTTGCTTTTTGGGTCATACCCGGCAATGCACAGGGGATACTCCTGGCTCTGCACTCAGGAACCATTCCTGGCAGTGTTCAGAAGACCACATGGGATGCCGGGAATCGAACCCGGGTCAGCCATGTGCAAGGCATAATGCCCTACCCGCTCTGCTGTCTCTCCAACCTCCAAGATAGCCCTTTTGTTACCACAAAGAGATGCTAGTCAGACACCCATTAAGGGGAGAACAATCCAGAAATACACGTGTCAGGACATAAGGGATCCAGAGAAAGTTGAAACTGTCATGTATTGTAGGTGGGATTGTAGACAGTGGAAACAAAATGAAGATTCTTCAGACAAATAGAACAATAGGATTCAGAAATTCTACTTTAGAATTTATATACCCAAAGGAATTGAAAGCAAGATCTTGACGTGATATCTGTCCATGCATGTTTCTAACAACGTTTTATTCACACTAGTAAAAAAAAAAAACAAGAATGGTATGTCCGTTCTGTGAAATACTATTCAGTCCCAAACACAGAAGGGTGTTCTGTTGTCTGCATGCATGACTGCAGTCGTGACACTCATGAAACAAGTCAGTGCCACAAAGGCCAGTGTGTGTTTGCCCTGAGAGAAGGTCCCTAGAGTGAGTTGGTTCGTGGCGACCAAGAGTAGAGTGGTAATTCATGGGGTAGAAGGGAACAGGAAATTGTATGATGGGTACAGGGTTTTGCCTTGGCAAGGAGAAAGGAGTTGTGTGCCTGGTGGTGGTGACTGTCAAACTGTGTGAGTGTCTTTTAGACCACTGAACTGTCCACTAAAATGGATGGGGGTCAGGAGATGTGGCTCAGTGGTAAACTCATGCCTTGCAGGCAGAGTTTTGGGTTCAATTCCCAGCCCTACCCCTCTCCAACTCTACCACCCCACCAAAAAATATTAAAAAGACTGTGGCTAGATTGATAGTACAGCGGGCAGGGCACTTGCTCTGCACACAGCCAACCCAGGTTTAATTCCCTGACAGTCCATAGGATATGATTCTCCAAGCCCCTCCGGGAGTGGTCCCTGAGCACAGAGCCAGGAGTATACCCTGAATACTGCCAAGTGTGGCCTCTAACTGAACCAAAAAGGCTAAAGTGGTATATGTTTATGGAATATTTATTTTACTGCAATTGAAAAAAAATGTTTGGCCTTTTGTGGTCATACCTGGTGATGCTCAGAGTTTGCTTCTGGCACTCGGCTCAGGAATTACTCCTGGAAGTGTTTGGGGAACCATGTGGGATGCTGGGGACTGAACAAGGGTTGTCCATGTGCAAGACAAATGCCCTCCCCACGGTGCTATCACTCTGGCCCCTAAAAAAAACTGTTTTGTAAGATACCTCAAGGAAGGCCCTCTCAGTACATATAATAACTCCTGTATTTCCAAGAGGCCCTCTGACCGTTAGATTGAGACTTGAATGATTTCAGTGGAAACGAGAGACTTAAATCCTCAATTTTCATCTTTGAGATGTACCTATCTCTGAAATGGGCCAACAGCGGAGATTAGTTAGCAGAAATAATGGGAGCAGCTGCCAAGTCTTTTCATACCCCCCGGATGAAGGGGCCTAGGAGCCTGTCCCAGGCTACTTGAAATGCTGCTGAAGAAAGAATGGCCGTGTGCTTCTGTACATAAAAGAACTCTATAAATAAAGAAACCACGTGAGACGGTTCTTGGCGCTGCTGGCAGTGCTTTGGAAGCACATCTGAGCAAAGACTAAATATCCCTTGACATCCCGGGTTTTGGGTCCGTTCCATGGGTTTCCACCCTCCTGCCGAGCCTGTGCATGGACCCACTCCAGAACGTGCTTACTCAACAGAGCGAAGCTTTGTATCCAGGTAGATAAGGATCACCGCGCATTGTAAGCACGGAGCCTTGCTTTCTCACCCTCTCTCTGCCTTTGTCTCCGCGGCCCCATGCTGGGGGATGGGAGAGTGTGGAGAGCCCTACGGGGGACCCCAGCAGTGGTCCAGGGGGGTCTCCAGGTCACTTCAGTTGCATGGACTGTCTCGCGCCCACTCTGCCATGTCTGAGAGCCTGTGAAACTCTTAGGGCCTGCAAGCTTTGGTCTCCTGGTCCTTAAACCCAGCCAAGGAACTGCTCCCTTGAAAGTTTTGTTGGAGGAAAGGGGAAAAAATGTTTGTGGCCCAAAGTTAGAATAGACCCTCAACACTGACTCTGACCGGTAAGGATGGGGGCCCTGTGTGTTCCCTAATGCCTGCAGATGGGGGAAGATAGCTCATAGGGATAAACGCTTAGTTTGCTGGTGGGAAGCCAGGTCCAATCCCTGAGCACAAAGCTAGGGGGAGCCCCTGAGCACCACTGTGCCTCTCCCCCCCCACTCCCCCTAACACCCCCCTCAACAAAGTGTCCTTAAAAATTATGCTAAAGAGGCTGGAGCGATAGCAGAGCAGGGAGGGCGTGTGCCTAGCTCCCACATGGTCCTCAAGCACTGCCAGGAGTGATCCCTGAGTGCAGAGCCAGGGGTAACCCCTGAGCATTGCCGGGTGTGACCCAAAAAGTCAAAAAGAAATAAGAAAAGACTTTAAAAAATTATGCTAAAGAGGCTGGAGCGATAGCAGAGCAGGGAGGGCATATGCCTAACATGTGGCCGACCAGGGTTCTATCCCTGACATCCCATCCGGTCCCTTGAACATCACCAGGTGTGACCCAAAAAGTCACACACACACAAAACTAGAAAAAGACAACAACAACAACAAATTACGCTTTAAAATAAAAAAAGTTGTCTTTTGGGTCCAGAATGATAGTACAGCTGGTACAGCAATTGCTAGCCTCCTGTGTGGCACGCCCAAGTTCAATCCCATCCCCTGAGCACTACCAGGAGTGAGTCCTGAGTGTGCACCAGAACTGACCACTGCTGGGCATTGCCAAAAAAGGAAAGAAAAAAAAAAGATTAAAAAATATTAAAAAAAAATAATTAAGAAAAATTTTTTAAAATCATCACATTTTACCCTTTAATTTCTACTCTGATTTTTGGGGTCTTTGATTATTTGGGTCGGGGTCACT